TTTGTGTCCTTTGTCTCTTTTAGACTAGGGTCCTTAACACAAAGGATCTTCTCTTTGTCTAATTTAAAATTATATGTCTCCTCATAAACCCAATCTAAAGCGGCTTGCAAGTCTGTGCCAGTAAACTGAACTGGTTTGTTGTATTCCTAATGAAGTGGGCAAGATCAGTGGGACTAAGATAACTGTGAACTGGCACATGTTGTCAACAATTCTTCTACCCAATCTCAGTTTCATTGTGATTCTCCAGATGGCACCTGCTTTCCAGTCTTATCCTTTGTTTCATATCATATTCAAAGGCTTCATTTTTTAAAACCTTCCTGCATGGAAATTTATACTCATTTTTGTACACATTTCCCATATGGTACACATGTATTTGCACATGTCATCTAATGTGTGTTATTTTTACACATCTTCCAATTGACTAAAGCATGTTTGTGAGTATAATTAAATGGTACACCTTTTTAGCTGTTCACATTTTAAAAATAAGTTCTGATTTTGTGCATAGAAAGCAGACAAGTCTCAAAAATGTGCACATTTCTAAGGCAATGAATGTTTCATCTCATGGGAGATGCAAAATGGACAAGTTGTTTGAGAATGTAAAAATAGCACCAAAATTCCTTTCCATCACAAGTAACAAACTGACAGAGGATTGCTTTTTAAAACCCCTCCTCAAAATAGACTGATTCATGAATGTACAATGTTTGAGTTCTCAACATCTGTTTTCTGAACCACTTCCATCTCAGCTGAAAAAGTAAAGAATTGTTTACTTTACTCAATAAAGAATTGTTGAGTAAGGCTAGTGGATTTTCCCCCTTCAGTTTATTTAATAATAATAATAATAATAATAATAATAATAATAATAATAATATCCCACCCCTTTGAGATCAATTGGTGTGGCTATTTATTTATTTATTGAATTTATTTCTCAGCTTTCTCCTGGTATGGCATCAGTGGTGTCTCTCCAGAAGTTTAAAGCAAGTTTAAATTAAAACCTTATTCTACAAAAGTTAAAAAGAATTAAATAACAATATTATTTAAAAATCATGGTTAAAATAGTTAACACATTTAAAACACAATTGATAACAAAACTTTTAAAATAAAATAAAATGTGGCACACCACTTCGTATACACTGCTACTAAACAATTTAATACCCAAAGGCCAGCCTGAATACAAAAGATTTTCAACTGCTGACGGAAAGAGAGCCAGGAGGGGGTAAACTGAACTTCCCATGGAAAGAAGTTCCACAGTTTGGAAGCAACCATGGAGAAGGCTCTCTTTCTCAAGTCCTAACCACCTGTTCCTGCAAAAGTGATGGGACTGAGAGAAAGCATTTCTCTTCAGATCTTAAAACATGAACTGGCTACTGTCTTTCAGATAGTCTGGACCTAAATTGTGTTGGGCTATAAAAGACAAAACCAGTACTTTGAATTGTGCCCAGAAATGAACTGGCAGCCAATTAAGTTGTTTCAATTGTGGTGGTGGTGGTGTGTTACATGATCCCTGTAACTAGTCTTTGTCAACAGCCTGCCCACAGTATTTTGAATCTGCTGAAGTTTGCAGTCTCCAAAGGCAGTCCCATGAAGAGCATGTTATAGTAATCCATATGGCATGCAATCAAGGCATGTGTCACTGTAGGCAGATCTGGCTTCTTGAGGAATGGTCACAGCTGTAAGTGTAAGAGGTGTTGCAGACTGCCAGAAATAGTGCAAATTGAGTCCACTTTTAGGGTTAGGGTTAGTGCTAGGGAATCATGAGAACTGTGTTTTGTTTTGTTTCTGAGACATTGAGCCTTCTCTGTCAGAGAGCTCTGGTGCCACAATAAAATACAATTCCCATGATTCCCTAACCCTAACCCTAAAAGTGGACTCAATTTGCACTATTTCTGGCAGTCTGCAACCCCCTAAGTTTTCCTTTTCTTTTTCTTTTCCTCCTTTGGTTCCTTCCTTCCTTCCTTCCTTCCTTTTGCTAACAACCTACCAAAATTTACAAATGTCTTTCTAAAATGGCTAGAGGAACTTGAGATTTTAAAATCTGAATATGGAAGAAAACAAAACTGACAGGTTCATGTATCCAAAATCTGGGTTTGAATCCCATCAGATTCAATATGGTCCATTCCATTGTTGGGCACAGCTCTGACTAATTCTTGAATTTGGCCTGTGAAGATGAGTGACAGTTTTGTTCAATTTGTGGTTGTTGTTTTTTATAAGGAATTTCCAAAAAGTATAGATTTCTGCCACAGTGGCAAGTGCCAAACTCAGGTTTATTTCTTGTGCGCTGTGGAACATGATAAGCTGGCCAGGGCTGAGGAAATGGAGGCTGATCTATTTGTAAAATACAGTAATGGAGGAAAGAGGCAGGCGAGAGAGGACAAGCTGGTACAGCATGTCACAGTTTCAGCTTTGCATTTAAATGCATTTCAAAAGATGAGAGATTATGTCCTGGGGGGAAACATTGTAAGAGGAGAACGGCTGACACCTCTATCCACCATCAGGCATGTTGTCACTGTGATACATCCTCCCCTGCTTCCCACAGCAAAGTGCATCCTAAAACTATGCAGATGTAGTGCTGTCTGTGGGACAAATAAATAAATAAATAAATATGCAATGTTTTGCCTGGCTTCTTCCTCATCTCTGTTTAACACCAAAGTTTCCTAATGGGGTATGGATTTTTCAAACATGTAATGGAAATGTTAACCTTTAAACTATGGTTTTCAAACAAAATTTTGTCACAGCATGAGGTGTGTGCCTGTGTGTGTGAGAGAAAAAGCAATAACTATGCATAGCGTGAGGCAGAGCTTGAAAACATTACTTTTTCAGCCTAGAACTTCCAGAAAGTAAGGAGGGATTCTGAGACTTCTTGCCCCCACAAACAAATTCCACATTCTGGAATGAGACAAACTAACAAAAGTCACTCCTTTCTTTCCCACTGTTTTGATGAAACTTTTGACAAAGCTGGGTATGGCAGGGGTTTGGCCCTCCAGATGTTGCTGGAGAGCAACTTTTATCTGTTCTAGCCAGCATGTATGTGCAGGAAAAGGGCATTTATTCGAATTATGACCTTGAGCAAGACACCCTCTCTAACCCTCAGAGGATGGCAATGGCAAATCCTTATGAAGTTGCTAAGAAACCCCTATGATCTTGGGGTTGCCATGAATCAGAAATTATTTGAAGGCACACAACAACAACAACAACAAGGTATGGGCCAGTGCTTCTCCTAAGTTGTTGCCACCTCAAGCCAGATGGAATAGTTGATTGGCTTTTCCTATATGGCCCAAGCCATCAACTAAGATGGCATGGTGAATCATCAGGTAGGAAAGCCAGCCGCCAAGCCATGCTCCAAGAGAAACTGAGTTGTTTCTTCCCCATCCAACTTCCATGTTACCAATACAAGAACCAAACTAGATGTGAGGTGACATGAATTACAAGCTACACTTTTAAAATCTAATAGTAGCTGCTGAATGGGATCTTAGCATGTAATATCTATTTTCTCCTTGTAGGAAGGGTGTGGCAGAAATTATATAAAGAGTGTCATTGATGGGGGAATATTGCACAGACCCAGAAAACAGAAAGAAAGCCAAATGGTTTTGTTGTGCAACATTGCTGATTTTATATAAAACAGCAGTGTTGCACAACAAAAATGCTGTGCAAAATCAGCTATGTTGTGAAGAAAACCATGTGTGGGTGAAGCTTCAGTTAGTCCAAGTTTTCCCCCTGCTGTGTAACCTTTGAGTTGTGCAACTTTCAAACTAACAAAGACTGCAGCCATGACATCAAGGCCCCATCACCTTGTTTGTATAGGACTAGAGTGTACAATTTAGTGCTGCATCTTCTGCACTTTCCCCAGGATGTGGTGAAAAACAACGTAAATAATTGAGGGTTCCTCCCCCTCAGGAAGCTATGCACTTTTCTGTGCATAGTTAAACAGACTTTGAGTGTAGGTTTCAGCTACAAAGCTTGCTTCTCAAATTCTTGTGTAGTTCTGAGCAATTGTGCAGTTTATCTTGTGCTGGAAGGAGGGAAAAATTGCAGGAAAATTTGATATGTCATTTTTCTTCATGCCTGAGTTTTGGAAGGGCTGGGAACTCCAAATTCCACCGCAGTCAGGAAATTAATAAATGGCTATTCCATCTCTTTGACTGGGAGAAATTTTGAACTTGGGACATCTTGCTTCACAACTGACTTTCAGGAAATGCACTTCAGTAAAGTGTATTTGCTGTTATTGCCAAAAACCAACCAACCAAACAAAACCCTCATCCTGTTTGGGGAAAAAAATGAAAGATCACCTAATATAGGGAAAATTTGAAGCTGATGCTATGAAGAAAACACAGCGGTAGAAAGAGTAACTTTTTCAAGCTCTAGTTCAGGGGTAGGCAACCTTTCTCCTTTAAGGGCCGAGGGACTTCAGCTCCCAGAATCCCAGGAGCTATTGGCCAACATGGGACTATTGGCCAACATGGCTGAGGCTTCTGGGAGCTGAAGTCCCTCGGCCCTTAAAGGGGAAAAGTTGCCTACCCCTGCGAGTCTAGTTTATCTGCTATGAGTTACTTCCAGCTCTGGGTCTGATCACACCAAAATGTGTTTCTTAAGTACAGTGAATATATAGAACAAAAGGGGAGAATGAGCAAGGAGCACATGAATACAATGTATTAGGAATCTTATATTTTAACAA